AGCAAAATTAAAACCAATACTGAATTCATATATCCCATTATGAACGATGCAACAGCAAAGGAGTTCATCAAGCAAGTCACTCCAAAATACAGAATTAAGTTCCCTCTTCCACCTTAAATTATGCAAGCAAACCCCACAGAGAAACCTAACCTCCCTTCTAACTCACAAATCACGGAGGACTACAATATTACTCTGCCGATTTCACCTAAACAACTCACAGAAACTGTCAGGCTTCTACACAAATACTACAACTTTATACAACTTCCCTCAGCTGGATTTAAATAAATGACACCAACGTCTCTAACTCAGAAAATACCAGTACCAACATAACTTTACTGACTATCCCCAATGATATCGATGAGATAATCCAAACTCTATCCAAGCGGGAAGTCATAGTCTCACTTCCAATCCAAAAACAGCAGGATGTTACCCTCACAATGAAAATTCTCAGACAACACTTTAAGATCTAAACAATTCCAGATACTCTCCTACAACTCCCACCACTACCTACTCCCAAATAGAACATTTTTGACAATATTCATGCACAAACCCCACCTCCGCCTCCTAGTACTGTCCAAAGCTTTGCAATTGCCCTGGAAACAGACTCAACTAACAACAACTTGCAATTCAAAACAGAAAGCCACCCCATAGCAATAAGCACCCAACCCATAGTAGCTCCTACATCTACACGCGATCTAGTACATACACCTCCAGAAGACAACCCAACTCCAATAGACACAAACGAACACTCCAATGAGTAATCTACCACATCTATACCCTCTTAAACTCTCAATTGGCACACACAACGTACAAGGTTTCAACACAAACACAAAAAGGGAAACATGGGAACATTACTGCCTACAACACAACCTCAACATAATTGGCTTAACAGAAACTAAACTCTTCCAAGAAACAGTCCACAGAAAGCAGTACAACACACAACACTATACTTATCTATGGTCATGTATAGAAAGCTCTTGTGCCGGAACAGCTATAATGATCCACAACTATCTAGCACCTCATATTCACAAAGTATTAACAGTGCCAGGCTATGTCATAGCAATTGACCTCCTTTTTAAAAAATGATTTCAAGTTCCATATAATATCTCTTTACCTGCCAAGTAATGATGCACAACTCAGACTACAGACACAAAATACCATTATCCAATGGCTCCAGCAGGCGACCACACAAAGCATTTTACCAATCACACTTGGAGACTTCAATGCCTTTACAGAGAACATACATTCACAGTCTACCAAACTTAAACTTCTTTAGTATCTGGCATATAACAACATGTACAACCTGGCAGCACATTCCCAAAAATCTGCCCTTACCTGGCACAGAGCTAATCTCTGTAGTAAAATTGACTTTATCTGGGCCTACTAACTGATCCTTCAATATCTCACAGAATTCGAAATCGAAGACCCTAATACTAGTACTCTAAGTGACCACAAAATTTTAATCTCTCGCTGGCTATTCTCTTTTGCTACTACAAGACAGTCCAGGCACAAAACTCGAACAAAAAGAAGGGTTTTTGAATACAAACTCATGGACAAGGAAAAGTGGGAGAACTTCACAAACCAAGTCAAGGCCAACCTACATGCACAT